GTCCAAGTCTGTCATTTCACTCCATTGCTCTGGTTACTAGGGCAAAGGCTGGCTACGGCGTAGACATTTAACACGATGTCTGGTGATGCTGGGATAATGAGATTCCAATGTCAAATGAGCGTCATCCCCAGCTATGGAAGTGCATGACGCCACTAAGGAGAAAGGGGGACAAGGGGTGGGGGGGTATGGGGGAGGTTGTCTGTTTGTTTAACAATTTATGGATAAGTATTCAAAATTCTGGCACTCGCTCATGACAGATCCACCGCTGAGGCCGACCCTGCAGTGGAAGCGTGGGGCCAGGGGTGAGGTCAGGTCACTCACCAGGGACACAGCCGATTGGTGGTGGCAGGCCCAGATTAGAACCTAGTGTCTCTCTTCCACCCCCAGAAAAACTCGGTCTCCTTCAAGAAAAGAACATAAGGAACTGGGGCACACAGGCAACTGTGTCCCAGAATCCGTGCCCACTAAATGAAAATGAATCAACGAAGAAAGGTGGCCTGCTGGCCGTCTTTCCTCGCTGACTCGAGTTATCTAAAGTAGCCAGGAAAGCTTATATTTTCTTGAGATGTCAGTTTGGGGCTTTGCTATTTTTCCATCTTTGAATCCTTTATTTCTGTAGTATTATAGATGTGGGTGTCTACACATATGTGTGTGTGCATATATATACATGTATGTGTGTGTATGTGCATACACACGTACATACACACACATTTTCAAAGCCTGCTTTATGCTTTAGAAACGTTCTTAAGGTAAAGGGAGACAGCGGTCGATGTAAGACACGAAAAAAAAATTATAAATTATCAAGGGTTCATGAGGGAGGGAGAAGGGAGGAGGGCAGAAAATGAGCTGATACCAAGGAAGGGCTCAAGTAGAAAGAAAATGTCTTGAAAATGATGATGGCAACAAATGTACAAATGTGCTTGACACAATGAATGTATGCATGGATTGTGATAAGAGCTGTAAGAGCCCTCAATAAAATTATTTTTTAATAGAATTACTAAAAGTTCTAAAGATAAGAATCATATTTGAAGATATTTCAATAAGACAATTGAGAGATAAATTAAAATTAATTTTCAAAGTATGAACAATATGAAAAAACATGTTTAATGTTCTTACAATAATAGGTACTACATTCGAATGCTGCCTAACTTGGGGCTGGCTCATTCATAATCAAAGTCTTTAATGAACTTGCTCTCTGCAGGGCCTTTAGAGTGGAAAAATTACTTCTCAGTGTCATCAGGAAGAATGGCTCAAACTTGTTAGCAATATATGTGGCATATAAAGAAGCGCGCTCACCCCCAAGGCTGTGAGCAGAGAAGGATGAAGGGATCAAGTCAGTAGCACCCATTAGGGGAATGGTCACAGTCCCCACAGTTTTAACTGAGAAGACTCTAACAACTTCATCAACCCATGGCTCCAGGCCTTGAAAATCAATTCACAAAGGGACGTGAGCGTGATTTCATAGGTAAGTTACCAAGTGAGTATGGTACCAGACAGTTCGTTCTTTGTAGGAAATCTTGCTTTTCTGTCTAGTTGATGTAGCAAAACTGTAAGGGGGCTGTTTAACATCAGTGTCGAAGGTGAGCAAATGCCAAGGGATGATCCTACATCCATTGGGTCAATACCTCTTTCTTCTTCAAAGAATGCCATGCACATTTATTGGTCATCTTGATTGGAACAAAAGGCAAGGATTTCCTCCTTCTGCCCAAAAGCCACCACCAGGAAGTTAATATTCAAGATGAACAATGAACTCGGGCTTGACGGGTGCTAGGAGGCCTGTAAATCAAGGGATGCACTTTAGACTTGGTTGCACGGGCTAGGATTTAAAGTTCCAGGATTCTCTAGTTAACTGTCCCTTTGCAGAGCCCCTTTAATTTTATAGGAACCTGTTCTCACCTCTTGAGCTTACCTGCGGCTTATCCTAAAGGTGTAGCAAAGGCTAAAGGTCAAGACCATTGCCACAAACCATCTCTCAAATTGGTAGTTACTTAGCAGTGAGGACAAGACTGTCTGAAATGGCTCTGTCTCATGACAAAGTTTGCTTTGGACCACCTGAACATTTGCTTTCATAAATGGGGTGACACTTGAAGCACCTACTATGTGTGTGGTAAGCACTCCAGACCAAAAGGACCATTACTGGCACATATTTATGAAAATTGACAGCGACCTCCATTTCCTCAAGTTTAAAAGGGTGGTTTTGTGCTTCACTTTTGAGTAGTTGCTGGAAGGGCTTTCTAAAATCAGCCTCTTCGCAGGTATTCTGCTCAGTTATTTAGTGCTTCTCTGAGGAGGCTCATCCTCTGAACCCGAGTAATCCACACACAACAACAAGCATCTTTTTACTGAAAACGCAGCATGATATTATTAGGAGCTACTAGGCCAAAGGACTGGACAAACAGAAAGAAGAAATATGAAAAGCCCCATGTGTTTCTAAGGTGCTTCATTTTCTATTTCTTTATGTGACAAAGGCTCGATTGGTGACCCAAATCACTAGCTTTGATACAAGTGGGTGTCCTTCACATTTCACAAGAGGGAAAGAACTTCCCGTAAACAATGCCTCAGTTGATCATCTGTTCCTGCCGACACCCACCCACCGTTGGAAAGGAGTCCTATTTGGAGAGGAAGTGGGGAGGACGCTCCCCAACGGGTCATTTGAGAAAGACGCCACCTATTTCCCCCACATTCTGTTGTGATTATCCTTAATGGTCACGCTTTCCTTCGGTTAGCACCAACACCTGCTTTTCATTGCATGTAGTGGCGACCATTTAAAATGAAAAAGAAGTTAGAGTCCGCCCTCGCAAGGCACAAGCCATATTATATCCAGCCCTGCGTTAACTACAAGATTCTAGTCAGCACTTGGCTCTTCAGAGACACTCCATAAAATGCTGAACGAATGACGCAGCTCTTCTCCCCCCTTTCTGGTTCTCTGTTTCTCAGCAGAAACCAAGTGCTGAATCTACACAGAAAACCACCACTCTGAAGCAAGCAGTCCTTCATGATCACCGTAAGGCCATCTTACCATCTGGAGGTCAAGAACGGAAATAAGACAATGAAATCAATTAAAGCCAAGAGCTTCTGCCCCAGGTGTTCAAGATACCTGAAGCACTGGCCTAGCTGAGACGTTCTTTCTCAAAGACTGAAAATGTGAACACTACGAAGGAATGCCAAGATGGGTCAAGCTAGGCTCCAAGGCAGTGGTTCTCAACTTTCCTCATGCCACGACCCTTTAACACAGTTCCTCATGTTGTGGTGACCCCCAACCATAACATTATTTTCGTTGCTACTTCATCACTGTCATTTTGCTGCTGTTATGAATCAGGTGACCCCTGTGAAAGCAACCCCCAAAGGGGTCACGACCCACAGGTTGAGAACCGCTGCTCCAGGGGAATGTGCCAGACACTCTTAGTCTTCCTTGGAGGTTTGTTGAAAAAATAATGGCCATCTCTTCCCTGAGAGTGTCACTGGCGTTGGCACAAGTTCCAGAGAAGAGCAAGGGGACAGGGGTGGGGGCTATTTAGAATGACGGCATTCAAAGTGCACACACACACACATATATAGGAAACCTAAACTTGATCTGAGCGCTCAGTGCAGACCTGAGTTCATGCAGATTAAGCATTCTGAGGGTAGATTTGGATTCAGGTGGATTTCAAAATTTGCTGCTGCAGGTCTGAAGGCTGTAGCAACCACAGCAGTGACTAACTTAAATTACTGAAGTATAAATGGTAGTTGTCCCTTCCGATAGAAATCTGGCTTTTCATGAAAGAGAAAAATCAAGGGAGCCTTATTGCCAAAATAGTACAACATCCTTATGTCACCAGATTGGGAAAAGGGTAGGGGGTGGGGGTGGGGGAGGAGCTAGTTTCTTTAAGGTTTATATTCATGGAAATATGGTCACAAGACATTTTTAAAGCATGAGATATCGACCACAGTTTAAAGGACTTGCTGGTTTGGGAGAAAGATAATAGCGCTAGACTGTAAATACCAACCACAAGTTCAATGCCATCTTCCCAGTTAAGACAGAGCTTAGAGTGATGTGCTGTAATATGTGGTTTAAAACATAATCTCCGTTCCTCTGTGGCCTAGAAGAAAACCAATTCTTTCCAAATGAAAAGCAAATAAACAAAAATCAACGTCTCACACATCATCTCATACAAGTGGTTAACAATAAGAAGGAAGAAATGGAAAGATTTTCCGGATTTTTCCTTCCTTAGCATCTCCTCCGGTGTGTTCATTCCTGGGTTCCCAAGAAACAGACCAAAGCCATTCCGTTGTAGGTCCGAAGGGAACTAGCTCCTTCCGAAACGCCTTCCACTGCATGGCAGCTAAGAGGAAGCCTCCGCGCTGGAAGCCTGCACTCTCATTCATCGTTCTGTTTGTCCTTCCTGCCTGACATGCAAAATGCATGATGCAGCCTCCATTCTGTCCATACAACCTCATCCAATGCAACATACGCCAAAGCCGAAGCCACACAGTATCGTGGGCGCCTTCAATCCGCATACCCAGCAGAACGCATGCAATGAGCTCCAAGGTGCAACTCAGACCAGCGCGAGACGTTTGCCGAGCTCTTCCCCGACTCCGACAACTGTGCGTGGAACCTGTTCCCTTGTAAGAAAAACACGGCTGTCTCCATGCCCCCAAAAGGAGCAAGCCAGCCCAGTACCGCAGGCAACCGCGGGCGCAGGCTCGTCCACAAAGCTCCAGGAGGCTGCCGCGCCGGGGGTTGCAGTCATTCATCTCCCTGCAAGCCCAAGTCCGGCTCGTCCCCCTCCCTGATCGTACCTAACGAATAGCTCTCCAGCCCCATATTGGGAGGGCCTGCTGGGGATCTTGCGGAGGTACAAAATGGTGGATGGGAGCTGATTTTCCCCCCTGCTTGGCCCATAACTTAGCACATCCATCAAGCGCCGTGCTCCCCTCCCAGCTCCCCAGCAGCGCCGCACCGAACGCCCCCGCGGACCCGGCCCGGGCGGGCGGGCGGGCGCAGCGCCGCGGCTACCAACCTGATGTCATGTAGCCCCGCGCAGCCTGCGGCGCGAAGGCCGCGGGGAAGCGCTTGTGCAGGCGGTAGTCCTTCTCGCTGCGGGACCTCACGCGGTCCGAGGCCCGGTCCGAGAAATCCGCGCTAGGCCAGGCGCGCCGCAGGGTGGTGCTCCGCGTCTTCTTCATGGTGGGGCTGGCGACCTGCCGCCCCGCTGCTCGGGCCTCAGCGCCGGGGCGCGGCGCGCCGCTTCATCCGTCTACGGCGGGCACGACCCGCGCGGACTCTGCGCACATGTTCCCGGCCCCTCCTCGTCGGCGTCTACACCGCCCGCCGCGGCTCC